CCGCACCCAAAATCTGGCCGAGCACCTTGTGCCGGCGCTCGCTTTCACAGCCGAGCCAGGGGGCTGGGAGCATTGCAGTGCCGGGGATCCCTGCAAAGAGGGGGTGCCTGTGCCTCCTGGGCTCTGCCGAGCCTCACACTGCCTCCAAGCAGTGCCTGGAGAGATGGGGAGCCTCTTGGTCGCCCAGTCACTGGGGACTGCGCTCAGACCTGTGGGCATTTACCTGCCAGGAACCTCACAGGGACGCACAGGGGTACCGCTGACAGCATCACACACAAGTGCTTCCAAAGACATGTACACCCGTAGCCGGAGTTAGCACACGTGTGTAAACAAGCCCACACACTCATGTAGGCAGCACGTTGTGTAGATCTCATGGGTTCCCGTGCCCCAGCATGGGATGGGCATCGCAACTCCAGTGGTACACGGAGCCAAGGACATGAAGGAAAGCACACTGAAGGACAGAGGGGCACAGAGAGCCACCTGCAAAAGCGGAGTCTCTCTCACGCGCGTACACACTCGCACACGCAACAGGACAAACAACGCCACACGTGTGTGGTGTACCTGGGATCCGGGCTGTGACTTGGAGGCGGTTGCAGCAGTCGATGCCCCAGAAGGCAGACGTGCACAGGGGAGGCACGTTTAGACAGGGCGCGCGTGAAGATGTGCAAAGCCATGTTGTTGCATGTGGTAAGTTAGGGGAGTAGCAGAGACGTGGTCCCATACCATACAAAACTGCGCAAGCAGGGAGCCTTCACGTGTGTCACTGAACAGAAATCTGTGCCTGAGGCTTGATCTCAGTCGTAGGTGACGAACCAGAACATGGCAAATTTGAGCTGTTTGGAGTTTTTCCCTTCCTTCAGAAAATGTCAACTTTGGGGGCTAAAACTTGAAAGCCGCCAGCTTTCAGCTCACACCAGTTGACCTTAACTCCCTAATTCTGTTGTGGGAACGGCTGCTGAGTGTGTGTTCTCTCGGACACTGCTGCTGCGGCTGCATCGACAGGCAACCTGGAGAGGGGGCAGGGAAGGCAGGAAAGAGGGGAAACAGTACTAAACCTGACTTCCCCTTGGCTCAGACCCTGCTGATGACCAGGCTGGGCCATGTCCCCAGGGGTGGCACACTGGGGATGCATGCAGGTGTGTGCAGGAACTGGGGGGGGGAGGGGGACACGCAGGAAGGGAAGAGTCCAGCCAGCTCTGTGCCCAGCTGGAGGATGAGCTTAGGCAGGGGTGCAGAGCTACTCTCACCACTTGTCTCTCTCTGTCTCTCTTTCTCCCCCCAGCCATCCCATTTTATGGAGCTGCGGGCCGGGGCTAGCCCAGCTGCCCTGCTGCCTCCTGGCAATGCTGCTGGTCCCGGCGT